GAGAAAAATTTTCACAAATTTCCCCAAAAATTCGTGATTTGTTGAAGGAAGTTCGGCAACGTCTGAAGGTTCATACGACGCTCTTCCTCAACTTGGCAGAGTAATGATATCACACTGAGGCAAAACAGCGTATGTGAACATTTAGACCTTGCCAAATTGAACCGTTTTTTCCGAAGGGCCCGAGCGTCAAAATCAAAGTTTCTAGAAGAACGGAAAAACTTCACCACATGTGGGCTCAATCTGTAGAGCCGAAATAATATGGTCAAAATGTCTAAATAGGCTATTTAAAAGGATTTCAAGCCTATTACTCCACCATACGATGTGTTTACTCTGAGGCAATCATTATGCACCTGAAAGTAAAACTCCGAAATTTTGACGCAAGGCACCCATAAGATAAAAAAACGGCTCAAATTTCTTCAAAAAGAGGGAGGGGGGAAGCAGAGGGATTACTGGAAAAAAACATATTGGATCTAGAGTCCAGACTTTTAAAAACATCGACAAGAAAAAGTACTCTTGATTCAATCGGAATCTAGCTTAAAACAAGAACCAAGCCTCTTAATTTGAGCGGATTTCCTTTTGATTTGAGCTTAAATCTGCTTGAATCGAGAGTCCTTTTTCTTGTCAATGTTTCCAAGAGTCTGGACTCTAGATCCAAAGTGTTTTTTTTTTTTTTCCAGTGAAGTATTTTCTGGGAAACGTATGTAAATCTCACGTAAGATTTTTCAAGGGTCTATTGACGATTTCATCCAGCGTACTTGGACGTATTTCTGCCAAACGGAACTAGGTGCATTATGACATGAGCCCTGAGACCCATAAGAATATACGCGTAACAGGGCTCACGTCATAATGCACATAGTGCCGTTTGACAGAAATACGTCCATTTATCGGTCTTATCGGTCTGTGAAGATGAAGACTGAACTGAAACGGTCGGTGCGGCGATAGATGACGATCCGAATGCGCCTTCACTTTTGGCGCATGCAACAAGGGCATCCATGAAGTGCGAATAGTTGTATCCAGGGGTTTGCTAACAAATAGAGCATCATAACGTCTGTGACGCACTATTGATCAATGTGCCAGTGAACTGTGCCGAAACTGCCTTTCCGACTCACACGGCCTCACGAGGCATATGAATATAACACGTGCGCACGTGCGCCCTGGCCATGAAAATGGCTAACGTGATTGTTAATTTAACAGTCGAAGAGACATGTTAAGTAGTGATATCCTTAATTGAAGGACGCAGTCAAAAAAAGAGCAAAAGACAAGCCGAAACTGCCGCGCTGAGCAAGAACGCCGTAAATCCAATCCTTCAAGATTTTCCCTCGTTTTCTGGAACTTAATACATTATGAAATAAAAACTGTTTTTCCTTTTTCCAATGCACCTCAAATTTTCCAGTTAAGCGTTTGATGAGTATTTGCGAATCCTGTAAAAACATTGTCCCAAGACACACAAGTTTTTCTGCTATGATACATTGTTTTAAAAAAATGTCAAACGGCGTTTACGGCGTTTTTGCGTTGCTCGGTGGAAATGTTTTTAAATCGAACTTGAGATAGACTCAAGTGTGGATATTGAGTTGACATTGGACTGCAAATCGACTGCTGTGACCCAAAAAAATAAGGAATGATGAGAGATACCCTTATCCAAAAGTTTTGTTTTCTCCCGTAAAATTCAAAAAGAGCTGGGCTTTAACTGTGCAGACACATTTTCCTAGTGCTCCAGACTTGTTCTACACCGTGACAAATCTTATCCATTGTATTTAAAGTCATCGTATCCCACTATCATCAAAAATGACTCCAAAACTATTTCAGAAAAGAATATTTGGGGCACCTAGGTGCATGGGAATTTTATCAACCTTAATTTCAATCGCTTTACTACCGCACACTGTGTCAAGCGTTCCGATTATAATACCTGCTGCAGACGAAGTTACACCTTTTTTAACAAAGGTATGTATTTTAACGACGAAATTGTCTAATCAGCACTCACTCCATATCATGACTTTACGATCGGATTTTGACTTTACTGCTTTGGTTGAAAATCTGCACGCCAATTTGACACCAGTCATTCAAGTCCATTCCCTGCCAAGCTTTGAGACCTACTTCCAGGACACAGGAGCGAAAAGTATGGTGCTCGTTTTGGACGATCTCGGCAGTATCTTGAATTTGATTTTAAACACTCAAACTTTCGGAGGGAAAACTCAAAATATCTATGAAAATGTAAGCGAGCATACCGTTCCGCAACCTATTCCAAAAAACGAAAATAGGTCACAGAAAATGCGGAATTATTGCATTGCTCACGAGACAGGCTTTACTACTAGCATGATACAAGATCCAAAGCAACCTTGCACTGAGAATATGACAATCCGTGATCTTGACGTGGAAGAGGGTTCTATTTTATCGGATGACATTATCAAACATGTTCATGGTTTATACACGAACAAAGTGTGGAACTGTGAAAACTATTTGATATTTTATCTGCAGAAAGCAGAGTATCAATACCCAAACTGCAGCCCTGAAGCCCAAAGAGACGGTTTCGAGGGAGACAATGCACATTCCAAGTTGCTTTTTGTCTTCAAATTTATGTGGCGTATGTTCAAAGGTCAGAGAACTTTGATTTGCATGAACACAACATGCCACAAGTACGAGCCATTCAATGAGAAAATCATACAATATGCCGGCACGGATGACGAGAACTTTTTCGATTTTTCTTGGCACTCGATGAACGGTAAAAAAATGATTGCAGCTATCCATAGTTTAGCATATTATGCCATAGATACAAACTTCAATACAGTCGTGGACAATTCTCTTTGGTTTGTTCATGCTATTAGTGTGGCGACTTCCTGGCGCAATGGCTCTGTGCACTATGTACTCGCTCACGGAGATGATATTGTGGATACTCAGGAGAATGAAATCCTCCTGATGGGCTTAAAGTACGGCGTGGATGTATTGGCCGCCGATATTAACATCAAAGTATTCCGAAATTTCGAATATTATGACGCTTCTACCTACCTGGACTCATGTCAGTTAGTATTCATAACCCCACGGGCGGAATTCATACCCCAGTATATTGCGATCTTTAATTGCTTTTCATCTACAACGTGGATATACGTTCTTGTAACATTGATCGTTTTTACACTGATTCACATAATGTTCTTTAAAGTGGAGAGGAACGAATTTCCTCCCTTGTACCGCGAAGAGGAACTGCCTAACCCGCAATCTCTATCCACACTCCTTACTATCGTCAGGTATGTTTTGGGAATCGGTCAATGCCGCATTGTGCTCATTAAGTTAATGACAGGAAAAATTGTATTCGTAATTATAGTGTTTTCGACACTGATTTTGACGACCCTATTTCAGAGCGGCATGGTTACATTGCTGAGCGTCAGAATTCGTTATAAAGAAATGGACACACTCAAAGAGCTTGAAGAATCCGACATGATGATAGAAGCCGGCAATAGAGAGAGAGAGATGAAACTCCTCGGAGATGATCCGCAATTCAACTGGATTAAAGAAAAATTGACGGATGGCCTTGGAGTCAAATGCCTTAACATTTCGTGTGACTTACAAAGGGACATCAAAAATATTGATTTCAATTATTCTGACGATAACACCATGACCTTTTCAAGTTCTTCCCAGAGAGAGATCCACGAAATTAGGAAATCCCGCGCCTACTTAACACGAATTTCGACTACACTATCAAAATACAACAACCACATATACTATGATGAGGGGACTGGACGCCGGTACGAATTCCATGACATTTCCGAACGCATGTTCAGCTATCCACAATTGTGTTTCATAGCAAAGAACTCAATTTATCGTGACGTCATCAATGACGCTCTGTTCCGTCTTGTAGAGGGCGGCTTTTATGAAAAAGAACTTCTTAAATCCCATCGAGTGGATAAAGAGAACTTTGCTCTGACAGAAAGAGAAGAAAGTGGAGAGGAACCGAGGCCATTTTCTTTGATTGATTTGAGGATAGCTTTCATGTGTCTTGGTGCAGGATTGACAATTAGCATTTGCAGTTTTATCGCGGAGCTGTTTTATCAGTTATGAACGCGGAAAATTTAAGTTCTAACAGACCCACGGGCGCCGGGTCCACTACGATTGCACTTTTGCACGTTTTATCAAAATCTAACATTACAATATTATGGTATTACGTTTAGAGTGGTTGAATAAATATACATTTAATAACTTGATTTGAGTCTTGGCCAAGGACCCTTAATTTTCTCCTACATTGGTTTTGTTCATCAGGGCCGAATTTAGGGGGTGGCCGCATGGGCCGCATGGGCCGCGGCCCATTTTTAAATGTAGGTATTAAAAAAAAAAGCGGATGCAGAAAAAAAATACAAACGAGGAAAGGCGAGAAAATCGCTAATTTCCTAAGAGTATAGTAATTTCTAATTTTGTCGTCTTTTGGTGATACAAGAGACAGCACCCTTAATTAGTCGAGTTAAGAGAGAAATCAAACACGCAATTTGGCCTGGAACGGCGCAACACAGAGAGCAATGATGACAAAGGACTTGAGATGAAAAGGAGAAGCCCTCGGCGTAGCGATCGGCATGTAACACATATTAGCGCCTACATAACTGCATGAATACTTCACGCATTGCGTCAAACACAGTGCGGTCATCGGCTGTCGGCGTGAAACGCATAGCGCCTACAAGACTGCGTGAATACCCTCTAAAAAAAACCCCCCACATCTTTATTACGTTGAAATTCTTTGTTAAAATTGGTAGGCGAGTGCTTTGGTCTCCTGACAACAGAATTGCGATCTCAAAATTGGAGAAAAATGACGAGTAGCTGAAAAAATGGAACCAATTGATGCGATACATCGCATGCCGTTCTGACTCAAAATGTGGCGTCCATCGAATCACCTTAAATAGTTTTCCAAAAGGAAATGTAAAGAATGACTGGAAGTCTGCAACGCCGCAAACAAAGATACGTGGTTTCGCACTTTGGCCATCGATATTTTGACTGGCAAGCCAAGTTTGTCGATTTCTTACCTGGCTCAAAGGTCGGATCCTCTCATGGATGCTTTTCTCGGCCTGTGATGGGGTAGGCGGAGGGTGATCGGGGGTGGGTGGCTGCTGGTAGTGAGTTGGACTTAAAGGCCACGTCTTTTCGCCGTTCCGCGGCTTTGAGCATCCGTTGACCATTTGCTCTTTCGACTTGAACTTGATGAACGCGTTCGAGATGAAAGACGGCACTGACAAGTCGATCGACTCCGAATTGGACTTGTTCTTGTCACAAGAGGGCACCAGGATTCGCTCGATTGTCACGGAAGGGTAGGTAGGCTCGGCTGTCTCCACCTGGAACCAGAAGAGAGATTATTTATTAAAACGGTGAATATTTTTTTTTTTTTCAAAATTTTCAGGCGATTATGTTCGCGATTCAATCTAAGATATCTGAAAATTTCAAGGAAAATAATTGTGCAAAACTTTCCCCAAAAATAGATGCTTTATTCGAGAAAATTTGGCAACTCTTGAATGTTCATACGGCGTTGTTCCTTGGCAACTGTGGCAACCCTTCATGGTTACTTCGAGTAAATTTGAAACATTTTGGGGGTGACTAGTTTTAGTTGAAATCATAAATATCTCAATTTTTTAAAAAACTGCACTTATGCGCCTTGTCCTCCAAGCGCCAAGCCCCTAATGTCCAGGTTTTCCCCAACTTCCAAAAATTCCCTGACATGCCCCGGTTTTCCCTGACTGTGGCCACCCTGCATGGTTACTTGGAGTAAATTTGAAGCATTTTGGGGATGACGTACCTTCCTGAAAGTTAGAATTTTTCACAGAATATGCAATAAGACTACTTTTAGCTGAAATCATTAATATCTCAATTTTTTTCAAAAACTGCACTTATGCGCCTTGTCCTCCAAGCGCTAAGCCCCTCATTTCCAGGTTTTCCCTGCCTTTCTAAAATTCCCTGACTGTGGCAACCTTGCATGGTTACTTGGAGTAAATTCGAAGCATTTTGGGGACGACGTACCTTCCTGAAGGGTAGATCGCCGCGGGACAGGATGACGGAGGGGTCGGGGGTGGCGTCCCGATCGGCGGCGTTGTGCCGGCGGAGCTTCCGCCTGGGGTTGGTGGTGCGGTAGGCGACGTTCTCGTAGACGGAGGTGAGGGCGATCGGCTCGTGCCGGTCCGCGTTGAGCTGGGAGTCCTCGCTCTGGCCGCGGGTCATGAGGGGGGCAGCGTGCCCGTTCCTTTCCTCGCCCGTCGGGATCGGGACGCTGTGCCTCAGCTTCGTGTCCGCGTAGTTCTCCTGCGATTTCCCCCGACGCAGATTCTCCTTGCTCCATTTCCCGGGCTTCCCGTTCGTGGGCTGTGGGAAATAAGAGGATATGTTGAGGAAGTAGCGGAACATATGTTGGAGATATGGTAGAAGGTATTGTCACCTTCCGGCCAAAGTATCACGAGCGCCATGCGACCAGTGTTCGAAACTCACAGGCGCCAACGCGCCAAATGCGCCTAAAAAATCGGCCATGGCGCCTAAAAAATGAAGCCTCTGCGCCAACGTGACACCTAAAAATCTGGACTTTCACAGGAAGTCATAGAAAGAAAGAAAAACAAATCTATTTGAATTGAAACAACTCAGAATTTTCAGCACTCAAGTGAAAGTTTGCTGTTTCTATTCTTCACGATTTCATTCTTAGTGCTTTTGTCTTCTCCAAGTTACAGCTACTTACTAGTTCTGTTACGAAAACATCTTGCGCCTAACTTACTTTTCACTAAATGCGCCGTAACATATAGGCAAAAATCGGGCTTGATGCGCCACATGGCTCCTGAAATTCAAAGGTGAGTTTCGAACCCTGAGCGGAACATATGTTGAAGATATGGTAGAAGATATCGTCACCTTCCGGCCAAAGTATCACAAGCGCCATGCGACGGTTCAAAATTTCCTCCGCCATTTAATTTTTTAACAGAGAAATTGTTCAACGAAGCTGTCCGAAAATTCCACTGAATTTTTTTCGTGCTGCCAATAAGATCAGGGAAATCTTCAAATGAATTCAACCAACATTCTTCGTAAAAAAAAATGAAATGGTGGCGGAAATTATAAAACGTCGTTGGAAATTATGAAACTATATCACAGCTTGATGTATTCTTATTCTTTCCATTTTTAGACGATAAAGATGTGCTCTACTATTTCTTCCTCGATTTTCTCGTTTCGAGACTCACCTGCAGATCTTCGAGATCGCTATGGCTCCGCACTCCGCTGCGAGCTAGGAACAAGTACTCGTATGAGCCGGGCGGCTCGGCAGGCACGGACATCGCTTGTGGAGTAAAATGCGTTGGTGACACCGATAGATTGCGTCTTGGGGGCTTTTTTGGTGGTGTTGGCTATAGTGACAAACAGAAAAAACAAACACTTTTGAACACTTATTCGTAAGCGAATTGGTGACGTAAGGATATTTTACATGCGGGTAGAGAAATTATTGCCGCCCCCCCCCCAAAAAAAAATTATAATTTTTAGGCGTTTGAAGATGTCTGGAATCAAAAAAATGTATCCCCTTAATCTGAGTACAGTCATACCTCAAAATCCATTTCTTTACTTTCATTCAAACTTTGCATGGCGGATCATGTCAGTCCCGTGACAACAGAAATGCGATCTCAAAATTCGAAAAAAATGACAAATAGCTGATATTATGGAACAAATTCATGCGATACATCGCACTAGAGTACCTAAATAGAGAGAGTACGGACAACTAGAATTATGTAGCTCTTAGGGCTTGAAAGGGTAGGTAACCTTTGAAAACGAAAAATGTCAATGTCGATCTTTAGACTCCAATATCAAACGAAAATGGACAAGGAAATTCATAACTAAGTATTTTTCCGCAATAATGAATAAGTTTATGCAAAAATCAAGTCAAATACGTGCTTTACCAACGACAGTTCCCAACAATGTGATTATAAATCATTCTGGATAATTTGAATTGATAGATTGCCTATCCTTTTGGGGTCTAAGAGCTCCATCACCTAACCTCAAAATTTTCGACACGTCCATACTGTCCCTATATAGGTACTCTGCATCGCACGTCGCTCTGCCACAAAATCAATGGCGTCCGTCGAATCACCTCAACTCACAAGGGCTCGCTCAGCACCCTCAGGGGGTTTGTCTGCGTAGTGGCTAGGGGTCGTGCCCTCTAGTTTTTGATAGGAGACTACTTACCGAGATTTTGCTGTTGGAGCCGGCGCTAGGGCTGGGCAGTTGCTGCGAGGCGGGGGAGGGCGTCATGGGGAGGTAGTTGCCGTCCGGGAGACGGCGTTCACCCCTGCCTCCCCCGCCTCCCCCGCAGTTGCTGGAGGCCGTGGAGGAGATGGACATAGTGTCGTAGTCGTGGCTCCGGCAGCAGGAGGGATCGTCCGACAGGAAGCTCGACTCCATCAACGACTTGGACAAACCGGTTGTGCTCGTCGTCGCATGTCGCTGGCGCGACCCCTCGGAGTTTCTGCAAAACAAGGAGATCATTCAAATTTTGCCTTCGGATTTGGACTGCATTTTGCAATTTGGAACTATAAATTCTGGCTCTTTTGGAAAAACGCTTCTGTGCATAGGGAAACTAATGGCGCATACGTCGTTTTTAAACCGGGCAAGAATTTATAGTTCCAAATTGCAAAATTTAGTCCAACTGGTAATGCAGCGAGAATGTACACAAAAATCGTGTATGCCACGTTTCGTTTACATCGTTCATTTAAGTACACGGAGAAAAAAACTTCGTGCGTGGGACCCGAAGTTGAGATCATATGGATCTCTAAAGTTTTCGGATCACGCATCCGAAAACTCGAGGTCCAACTGCCGAAGTTCGGGTCAGACATCTGAGGCTCTCGGTATGTACCGGATCACTTCAGATGAGTGACCTTCCACAATCTGAAAAAAAACCCGCGAGAAACCAAAAAAGACTAGATGAATCCGACAACAACGAGCACCTTGGGAGAGAGATGTAAATTTCAAATTCACGGCGGCGGAAATTAATCGACATGAGGAAAGCTCTCGGGAGCGAATTTTCCGGATTTACTTTCCGACTTTCGGCTGTTGAGAGTGAGATGAAAGGACCGGGAGGTGGAGAGAGGTGAGGCGTCGTTGCCAGGTGGTGCTGAAAAAGCGGCACTTTTCCCCATTTAAAAGCATGCAAAATATTCAAACTATCGCACAACCCGGAAACCTTGTCGCGGGAAAAGAAGCGAGTGCACCTTCCCGTGCCTTTTTAGCACGCCTCCTCCCGTCATCTTTGCCTCATTTTTATCGGGTCCCTCTTGTTCCCCCGCTTTTAATTTAATTTCAGCCTCTAATTTGAGATTAATTTGAATCATTCGGTCAGTCTTGCCCCCCCCCCCTTCTACCTGGGTCCGCCACCGGGTGTACTCTCTCCCTCTCTCCCCCTCCCTCTCTCCCCCTCCCTCTCTCCCCGTCTCTCCCTCTTCTGGTGGGCAGCCTGTTTACATCCGTCAGATTAACCTTTTCCTCGGTCGCCGCACAGTGGATCGAGTCAATTAGAGAGGTCGGACATAAAATTTTTGACTAAAACTGCAAATTTTTATGTTAAATTCGTCACATTTTAAATTTCAATGGGTGCTTTCGGGAGAAAACTTCACGAGGAAATCAATGCAACCACTTTTAGAACCTCAAAATTTTGTGTAGACGGAGTTATAAGCGTTAAAAGTTTCCAAATTTTGTCCGACCTCTCCTATTGACTCGATCCATTGTTCGCCGCTGCTGCCACTCCAGTTTCCATAAATCCCCCCGTAATTAAGTGACGTCATTGTTGAAAGGGCGGNGAAAGGGCGGGGGGGGGGGGGGGGCTCGAAAGGGACGAAGAATTTCAATCTCGTCGTATTTGCTTGGCTGAGATGTGAAAAAGGGCTATCACTAGTGATACTAACGTACAAGGGCCGTGAGCCACTGAATTTGCACAAGAAAGAGTGCGGACATATTGTCGTTCCTCCACGAAAGAACGTAACTGCATTTCAATGTTGCCAAATTTCCTCTTGCAAATTGCTACAGCAATTGAAGAATCTTGAGTATATTATCTGACTGAGAATTTTACCGATTTTTTATCGATCTCATGCAAAAAAATTTTGAGTCGATTTTGCAACCTTGGAACGCAGTTACGTTCCTTCGTCCAGTATACGACAAAATGTGCGAGTTCTTCTGGGTTGCAAGTGTGAACGCATTCCTATCAAAGGAAAACTTGAGGGAAAAAATACAAAAAATGAAAAAAAAAACTGATGAAAGGGTCTTTTTCAGAATGTTTACGAGACATTTTTGAAGTGCCTTCAGAATGTAAAATCAATAGGAAGAAACTCCTCGATTCTCCATTCCTTCCTAGAACCCTAAATAACATCCCATAAAATGTTTGCTCTTTTCTATGCCACAGCTCTACACGGTTGCAGTTTCCAAACGCGATAAAAAAAAAAAAATAAAATAAAACAAGNGAAAAAAACTCGCTGAAAGCGAATTTTAGCAATCAACACAACTTGACGTAGAGACATGATTGGCTAAAAAATACAACGGTTTTTGATACATCGGAAAATCAACCAAAAATCGGAGACTGGGCGAAACGCTCAAGGTCGCAGAGGTATAGGGAATCCCATTGCGAAAGCAACGGAACGATTCTAATATCATGGGGAACTCCGTTCCCATGACAATAAAATAAAACCTGCTGAAAAGCCCGATGACGTTGGCTTTTTATTGCTTCTCAGATTCATTCCAAGGTTTACAAAAATTGAAGTTTACGTACTGCCGAATGGTAGAAGTTTACTTGAATAGAGCTAAGCAGAAAGATTAGAAAGCATAGAAGTCGGATATGCGAGAGAGAAGAGGCTCTCTCAGGGTTTTTACAGGGTGTCTACTAAAACAGGCTGATCAAAAATAAGTAATTTTTCAGTACCTTTTCAAGAAATTCAGTACCTTTTCCAACAGAAAAATTCCGTACTTTTTCAGTACCTCCAGTTGACGAAATTTGAAAAATTTTAAAAAAATTTGAAATTGGGACAAAAATTACAAAAAAGTAAAAAAATTCCCGACCTTTTTGCTGAATTTCCGCACTTTTTTAGTACTTCCGGACCGCCCTTAAAAAATCGGTACTATTTCCGGACTTTCCGGAAATTCCGGACTTGTAGACACCCTGTTTTTACTGATATTTAGATAAGGAGAAACTCACATGGATATTGCGGAGGTGTTGAATATTCGTCTTTCTCTTGAGCCTAGCAGGTCCCAATGTGAGGGGGAGGCGCCCACATTTTCGTAAGGACTACCTAGATCAGGAACCGGGATGGGTGGTAACGCATCGTCGTTATCACTCATATCACTCCCCGTCTGACGTCGATACCCTAAAAAAGAATTAGTGAATATACATAAATATTACAAATATATAATTGCTATTGCTATGCCAAATTTAATGGGCTAATTTAATTTTTTACATGAAAAAAGTCTTGCGGATTTTTGTGCAAATTGCAGTGAATTTTCTCCATCGTACGAAGCAAATTCCTTAACATTTTCAAAGGGATCCGCACAAACGTTTTCGCGTAAAAAAGTAAATTGCACAGTTAAAATTGGCAATAGCTGATGTGGCTTGGTTCCTTTCTGTTAAACGCGGCCCATTTTATCGTTTGCGTGTGAAAGCGAATTCGTCTAGATGATTAGAACTTTCAGAATAATAGAAGATCACATGCACTCCATCCAAACGCCGGAGTTCTAATTTTCAATGACGTCATCCAAAAGTACACACAGTGTCAGTACACAAAACGTACTTACAGTGCAAAAATGCTCTGGTTTCGTTTTTTTTCCACCTCGACCTCATCGATAATTATTCAGTGCTGAGATTGTGGGATTAATTGATCGTTTATACTTCACCGAAACTCGATTCGCCTTCAATTCTGCTGGGATACCATTTCACGACGTGAGGACACGAATAGTTGTATGACGGTTCCTGCTGCAAAAGTTTCTTCACAGCGGAGAAATACTTAAAGATTTAAAATCACGATGAGTTTTAAACTTAAAGATTCCAATTCCTGCGGCAACATCGACACAATGAATTTCTTGCACACTTTGGGAGCGAAAAAAAATATTTTTTTTTCCACTCAAAATCACTTTAAAATCACGATGATCACATCGAAAAAGTCTGAACTACACTCCCAACCTCGCAACTTGCAAGAGAAATATTTGCAATTTTAAGGTTTTTTTTTTTTAAGTCAAAGAAGGACCAAGAGTTTTCAGCACTGAATCTCTTAACATTGATCGATGCTGCTGATTATTTGAAAGTTTGACAGCAGGGGCCTCGTGTAAACTTCACTTCGTAAAAATTGAAGAAAAAACTTGTATTTTTTTCAATTTTTCTCTTTTCTGTTCCTAATACACACTGGAGAAAAAACACATTGGATCTAGAGTCCAGACTCTTGAAAACATTGACAAGAAAAAGGACTCTTGATTCAATCAGATCTAAGATTAAATAAGAAGGAAATCCGCTCAAATTAAGAGGCTTGGTTCTTGATTTAAGCTTAAATCTGATTAAATCAAGGGTATGTTTTCTTTTCGATGTTTTTAAGAGTCTGGACTCTAGATCCGATGTGTTTTTTTGCTTTCCAGTGCAGCGAACGAGTTTTATGATTGCCGACTTTCACCGTCAATTTCCTACTTACTTCTGATGATGGTGGTGATGTCTTGAACGACGTGCGTAGGGAACTGTTTGAGGACGTCGACGACTGTGCACTTGCGGGCGTCTTTGATGGCCAGATCCACGCCGTGCTCCAGGAGGGTCCTGGCCACCTCCAGCTTCCCGCAAAGGGCCGCCTCGTGCAGGGCCGTCCCAGCAGCCGTTCGCACGTTCACATCCAGGCCGGCGGCTAAAAGGGTTTCTACAACGGCCCTGAAACAAACGGAAGCCTCACTGTTATATCATACAAGTAGCAAGCCGACGAAAGACAAAGACTTTAATGCCTTTGTTGTCTCCACGAAAGTTGTTGTTGTCTCTACCCTTTAGTCTACATGGCACCCACCCGTTCTAACCAATGGGATCGCTCCATTTCCCGTCGTTTTCATTGTCTATCGCTTTGTCGATTAATTACAATAATCAGCCTGTAACTGCCTGATTTTTAGCATTTCGATCAAATACATTAATCAGCCTGTAGCTGCCTGATTTTTGGCATTTGTAAGTTCACTAGAAAAAAAACCACATTAGATCTAGAGCCCAGACTCTTGAAAACATTGACAAGAAAAAATACTCTTGATTCAATCAAATTTTGCTTAGATCAAAAGGAAATCTGCTCAAATTAAGAGGCTTGGTTCTTGATTTAAGCAAAAATCCGATTGAATCAAGAGTATTTTTTCTTGTCGATGTTTTTAAGTCCGGACTCTAGACCCAATGTGGTTTTTTCCAGTGTTTTTGAAGGGTTGTAACTTTCATCCGATGGACGTACGACGCACAGTATATCGAGTCGATCAGAGAGGTCGGACACGAAATTGTTGACTAAAACTGCAAGTTTTGATGTTTATTTCGTCACATTTTAAATTTTATGGGGTGCTTCCAGCAGAAAATTTTATGAGGAAACCATTTGGAGCCACTTTTAGAGCTTCAATATTTTTTTATAAATGGAGTTATAAGCTTTTCATGTTTCCAAATTTTGTCCGACCTCTCTTATTGACTCGATTCACTGTGCGACGTTACTCTTCCAAGGCGTGGCGTAAATGATCGATTTATCGATGTTTCCCCATTTGTAGCTATCGTAAAGAATCGATTATGAAGGTGCTAGCTGCAAATACCCTATTAATGGATACTGTTCCATAGGTTTAAATGAAAAATTAATCGATTTATCGCAAACCACACCACGCCACTGTGCTCCTCGTTATAATTTGGTCATGCACTGGAAAAAAACACATTGGATCTAGAGTTCAGACTCTTAAAAACATCGACAAGAAAAAATACTCTTGATTCGATCAGGTTTAAGCTTAAATCAAAAGGAAATCCGCTCAAATTAAGAGGCTTGGTTCTTGCTCTATGCTTAAATCTGATTGAATCAAGAGTCCTTTTTTTGTCAATGTTTTCAAGAGTCTGGACTCTAGATCCAATGTGTTTTTTTCCAGTGTGGGCATGACAGAAGACATACCGAAGATAAAACGGAACTTCAACAGCAACGATCCCACGACAAGAGAGCAAAAAAATATTCATGATCCTCTTCATTCGCCAACGAATTGAGGTATTTTCCGTTATTCCGCGCGAGCATAGCGAAAATTGTCGACGGATACCAAAATGCATTTGAAATTCACGACGGAGAATGTGGATGGCGTCAAGTGGCGCGGTTTGGCCGATAACATTCAGCCCTGTTTCCTGTCGATTTGCGACTCCCGGAAACAGGAAAACTATCGTTTTCGCGGGTGGAATTCTGTTTCCCACCGTTGCCAGTTGGGCAACATTTAGAGAAAAGAAATCGACTTTTTTGGGCGGGACTGAAACGCTCTTTACAAGAGATTGGCTGCGTTCAAAATGCAGGGTCGTTTTCATACTTGTTCCTTAAACAGGTCCCAGTGGCGTGGCGTGCCTGGGGGTACATCGATAGATCTTCCATTTAAACCTATGGAAAAGGATCGACAACCAAGATAACCAGACGACACCGTTTGAAAGGTCATACGGTGTTCTTCCTTAGCGAGGCAGAAAACTACGACACTATCGGTCCTTGCAACCTATTATTCAGAATACTAGGGAGAGTGTCCAGCGGAAATCCCAGAATCTGATTTTTCTATCCAACTCGGGTAAAATCGCTCTACTGGACATCTATCTGCATACCTAGACTTAAAAGGGTATCCAGTTTTTTTTTTCATTTTGGGAAATCCAGATTAAATCCCGATTTTTCCTGATTTTTGACTGCTGAATCCTGATTTCATAATTTTCCCGAATTCTGATCAAATCCTGATTTTTTGCGGAGGCGAATGTGACTTCCAAGAATGGCTCGATAAAAAAATCCGATCGGACGGCCGGCTTTTCTCAAAGCCTGATTTTACGACCGATTTTTCCTCAAATCCTGATGAAATCGGGATTAAATCCTGATTGACCTCAAATCCTGATAGAATCGGGAAAATCCTGATGCTAGACTGCCCTGCTTCAGTTCCTTCCCCCGAGAGCCGTCAGACTCGGAGCGTTACTGCCCTATCAGCACTACAACCTAAAACTCGAATCTAATGGAGATGTTGCATGTGTGAGGAATTTGCGATTTGGCTGTTGATACTTATGTAAAAGTTCGCAAGAAACACGATGGTGCCACTGGTTTTCTCTGAAATTAACTCCCAAGCTCAAAAACATCTCTCAAGTTGAGGCCAAAATGGAGGGGATATCCCCCGCTATCCTGCGAGTTCACCTCTACATCAAGACAAACTCTCCATGCGAAGATAGGGAGAAAATACATTGACAGGGCTGCCACTTTATTTGGAGACTCCAAAACTTAAAACAATGTATTTGCTCCCTATCTTCGCATAGAGAGTTTGTCTTGATGTAAATGAGGACTCTCAGGATAGCGTGGGACATCCCCTCCATTTTGGCCTCAACTTTAGAGCTTTTTTGAGCTTGGGAGTTGATTTCAATAAAAATCAGTGGCACCATCGTGTTTCTCGCAAACTTTCACATAAGAATCAACAGTCAAATCGAAAATTCCTCACACATGCAACATCTCCATTTTGAGGCATTAAAGTGGCAACGTCGAGCCGGCCGAAGGATCGGAAATTGAAGACGACAGAATTTAAATGACGTCACACCAAAGCGAATCAATCCCAACCGCAGACACAAATGTCACGGCTTCAACGGACGGTCCGAATCTAAAATTTGATCGCAGATCGTTTAAAAAGGCTGTCATTCGATTCGGGTCCATCGTTTTTCAAAATCCGGCGCCGGAATGAATAAAAACGAACGAATGACAGAATCCACAACAAACAAAATAAAATAAAGGAATAAAATAAAACATGAATCGAGCGAAATGAGAAACCGCACACGTTCGCCGGAACTCGAAAATGGAGCGAAACGAGAACGAGCGACTATGCATGTGTAGAAAAAATATGGAAAGCTGAAAAAATTGAGGTAGCATTGTTGTGACATAGAGTGAACTTATGATGTTCACTGAAAAAATTTGATGATAGAATGAACGCGAGGGTAAAAACGATGAAATGGAACCGTTAATATTCGATAATTTGTCACCTTTCGTCCAAAGCATCACAAGCGTCATGCGAAGTTTCAAAATTTCCGCCGCCATTTTATTTTTTATACAGTGAAATAGTTGGTGGAATCTGTTCGAAAATCTCACTGAATTTTATCGGCAACACGAAGCAAATTCAGTAACATTTCCGGACAACTTAGTTGAAAAATTTCTCTGTAAATATAAATAAAATGGCGGCGAAAATTTTGAAACGTCGCATGGCACTTGTGATACTTTGGCTGGGGGGTGACGAGTTGCACGGAATTTTGCGCGTTACGCGCAAAATTCAGGCATCGGGCCGATGACTTTCTCATTCAAGCCACGTTCAGCGTGTGATTACGTCAATTTTTGCGAATTCTTTCATCTCAACGGTGCTCATCTTCTTTGGGGAATTAAAAATTACCCATAAAACAGCTGAGCGCTTCTCTAACGCAAACATGTTCGCGCTTTCCCGCTTTTTTTCCCCATTGTGATTTTCGTCCCGTTTCACCTGCAGAATGTCTGTTCGCTTAGCCACATCTTTCCTGGCTACGGATCCCTTAGTACCTCGTAAATGATACGCTCGGAATGTGGCACTCCTGTACCAGGCGACCAGGCAGCGAGCAATTAAAAAGGCCAGCGGCACCGAGTTACTCCGTAATAACGTCGCTTCCCTAACGTTGAAGCGTAGCCACATATTCAGATGAGCCCTGCCGCTCATTTGATTCCACGCTTTTCGAGGCCCATTTCAAAATTGAGACACGCCTTTTTACGACGAAAACGACGTTGGAGTTGGCAGGAAACGCTGATGGTATCGGAGGTGGACGGATGGACCGTAACTTGGAAAAGTATCGTTAGTGGGGTTGGGGAGGGGGGAGTGGGGGGGAGGTTCTCACTTTGCGGGAAGAGTGATGAAGGGCTGTTTTGTGCTTTCGTTCGAACGGTCGGTGTCGAGTCCTAATCCGTCCGAAATCAAATTCAGGAAATGAGAAGTGACCGCGCAGTGGCGTGGCGTGGATTGCGATGTATCGATTGTTCTGCCATTTGAACCTATGGTGAAAAATCGATTATTAAGTTGTTCGCTGCGAACACCCTGTCTTTTGATCCTTTTCCATAGGTTACATGGCATAACAATCGATACATCGCAAAGCACGCCACGCCACCGTGAACACGGGCGTATTCGGACGTGTTTATGGAAAAAATTGCCAGTACAACGGATTTTAGATGCGATAATGGAATTTTGTCCATTAATAGACCGCACTCGATAGTGGTTCGCTGTATCGTTTGGTTCAAAACAATAGAACGTAACCTAGAATAAAATGTTTAGGATTTAATGGCGTTGGTAGTTTTAATGATAGTAGATTTAATGGTAAGAATTTCCATATGTTTAAATGGAGAAAAGACGATGTTCTCAATTTGCTAAATCCGCCTCTGTTTCCATTGCCGGTCGCAAAAGAAGTTATACAAATCGTTATTCAATATGACCCGGTTTCTTAAGCATATTATTTATTTCGCAGCATTATTCACGGATTAGTTTTTATTTAAAGTGCACTTTTGGGCTGAATCAGTTGTTTATCATTGCACATGCTATTTTCCATCCTAATTTTTTCAACACACTCTTCTCTGGACATTCTGTTTATGTTTTTCAAAAGGCCCACTCCAAAAAGACATATCAGAGTGGAAGGATATTCAATCATTTTGACGCTTGAGA